AGAAACGCAGTGTCCCTGCTTTCTCCCATGTATACATGTTATTAAACTTGGTATTATTTTCTCCTGCTAACCTGTCTTGTTAATTATTTGGCCAGCCATAAGAACCTTAAGGAAAAGGGCAGAGGGAGACTCTCCCTCTCTCCTGACATTGCCATTGTAGTGATCCTGTCACATGATTATCATTTCTTTTTAGTGGTTGGAATAATTAAGATCTACTCTCTTAGCAAGTTTGGTGATTATAACTCTTAGTGGTTCCTGATCTCCATTTTTTAACCTTTATTTTAACTGAACTGTGTGTGTTAAGGTTGAAATCTTATGGATGCGGGGGGGGGGGACTCAACCATTAATGGGCAGTGGAGCAGAATCAGGGCAGTCTTAGAAGGCATCAAAGGCAAGCGTGGGACCATTGTAGGGGGTGTCGAGGGAGATGCACCCTATGCCTTGGCTTTGTTAGTTACAGAGAGCTGGGAGCCCACCGCGTGTGTCCATTCATTCATCCATCCGTGCATGCAACAAACAGGTATTTGGTGCCTAATGTACCAGGCACTGTCCAGGCTCTGGGGACATGGCAGTGAACACAAGAGACAAAATCCCCTCCCTTGTGGAGGCTGTGTTCTAGTGTTTGTATGGGTGTGTGTGAGGGATGTTGAGTGGTGGGTAATGTGAGTCCTGGGTCATTATGAGCACAGCAGGGGACCCCCAGCCTCCTGCAGAACAAAGGAAGGAGCTCTCCAGAGCAGCAGAGAGCGCATCCCCCCACAGAAGCCCAGCCGACCCTCAGCCAGGGGCATAAGCGCCTTACCCAGGCTCCTCCTCCTCCTCCTCTTCTGCTTCCTCCTCCTCCTCCTCTCCAGCCTCCTCCTCATCTTCTTTCTCCTCTTGAATCCAGGGCAGCTCCCTGAGTTGAGGTCAGAGGCAGGAAGTGACCCACTTGTAGCCGCACCCCGTATCCACCTCCCACCCCCATTTCCGGGAGGGGACCCCTGAGACCAGACCTGAACTAGCCAACCAAGACTGGACCTGGGGAGCCCCACCTGGGCAGCCCTGGGCTCTCTCTCTAGCAACAAGGCTCCTTCACTGCATGAGGGGCCTGTCCCAGCCCCACCATCCTGGTGGTGACCCCAGGTCAGCCCCTGATCCTCTCTGGCCTCAGTGGCCCCATCTTTGCAATCTAAGTCATGGCCTGAGGACCTAAGGCCTCCCAGCATGAGCAGCTGTCACCAAGATCACTAGCGGGAACTAAGACAGTTACATCCCCGTTGAGGGTGACTCAGCAATCACTACCACGATTGTACATCCTCAGGACCAATGACCTCACAACCCCCCTGCTGGAAATTTATCCTGTGGATGTACACACGTGCACGTGCAAGGACATATGTGCGAGTGTTTGTTACAGTATTGTTTATAATAACAGCATTTTGGAATCAACGTAAATGTCCATCAATAGTTAAATCAATTCTGGCACATCCATATGATGGAATATCGTGCAGCTGTAAAAAATGCAGATGATCTGTATGCACTGATGGTGGAAAGACCTCAAGTCACATGGTTGAATGACTATAGCAATGTGCAGACAGGCAGGGCGTGTGATGTGCTATCTTTTGTGCAAAAGAAGAGGGGAATCCAGGCTTGTGTATGCTCAGATGGCCCCTGAAATGGCACAGAAGCACCTAGCAACCCTTATGCCCATGGGAGAGGGATAGGTGTCTGGGGTGAGGGAGGGGCAGGCTTGGTTCCTGCTCTATACCCTTTCATACCTTTGGGATTCCGTACTGTGTGCCTGTTATCTTCCCAAACAAACAGCCTTCTCTGGCACCCACCTGGGCAACTCCTCCACGGCCTCATTCTCCTCTTCATAAGCTGGAGCTTCCTCTGAGCCCTGCGAGCTGGTGCTGCCGTCCTGATGCTCGTCCTCCTCCCAGTGAGGATCAACCTCTTCTAGGACGAGATCCGCCTCCTCTCGCTCTCTGGGGAGGATGCTGACTGCAGGGGACACGGGGAACACTGAGTCCCAGGGACCACACAGGGAGCCTTGGCCATCACCAGCAAGGCGCCTGCTCTCAGCCAAGCAGCGGAAACAGCACTGTTACCAGCAGGACCTTTAACAACTAGATCAGTGCTAAAGTGATGGGCTGAAGCCCCCCATCCTTCACTCTGGCCTCTTCCATTAGTTTCCTCCCTCTTTTTCCTCTTGAGACTGCGCTTCAATTACGGTTAGTCTCTGTATCTCATTGGGTATCTGCATCTCATCCTTCTTGGAAGTTTGTGCAGAAGCAGAAAGAATGTGTGGGAGATCAAGATTTGGCCACCCTGAAATATATCTCTTTACCTTGATTGTTCTCTCTGACAGACATTTGACCTCCCCCACTAACTGCCTAAAGAATTTGACATAGTAACTCCTTCCTGGAACAGATCTTCCCTCTGATGGCTCTAATATAATGTAAAATAGATGTTACAATAGGAAAGGTACCAACAAGCCCATCTTATCGGAAGTTCTGTCTCTCTGGCCACATTCTCTGGATGGCCCTTTGAGGAGTAGTCAGGCAAACATTTACATTTATAAGGGAAATCTCCATTTGTAAAGGTATCTCCTTTTTGGGAAGGAGGGGGGATGGCCCCATTTCTAGAAACTTATCAATGTAGAAGGTGAGGCCTTAAATCTGCATAATAACATTACTCTTGTTTACTGTGCTTTAGTGGTGATCTCCTGTAACCGACTACCCCCCCCCAACATCCTCCTTTGTCATTGGCTGAACATGGTATTTAATACGAGAATTTCTGCTATTGTGTTGAGAAACGCAGTGTCCCTGCTTTCTCCCATGTATACATGTTATTAAACTTGGTATTATTTTCTCCTGCTAACCTGTTTTGTTAATTATTTGGCCAGCCATAAGAACCTTAAGGGAAAGGGCAGAGGGGGATTCTCCCTCTTCTCCCACAAATGCTTCTAACCACAGCGTCACAAGAGATGACAAAAGACCCAGGCTCGGGGTCCACCTTGCCACATGCAGGCGCACAGTGGCCTGGAATGTCCCGAGGAATGCAGAGAGAGCTTGCCCACTGCCTGCTCTCTAGATGCCATGCCCCAGTGACAGCACACTCCACGCCCATAACTTCAGCCTCTCTGGGATCCTCTCTCTGCCTCCTGGGCCTAGAGACTCCACCCTCCAAGGGAATCAACTTTCTCGTGGAGATGGTCCCACCTTCAGATAGGAGTCTGTAATTTTCAATATTTCTCCACGTACTCAGGTCCCTGACAATGAAACATTGTGGGGCTGTGAGCTTTGCAGAAGTGAGTGCAGGGGAATCTCAGGAGGAACTTAAGGCGGCCCCCAGGCAGGAGAAAGGGGAGAAAGGTGGAGATTGCCTGGATACCAGGTGTTCCCCAGAAGCTCCAGGGGTCTTGGTGGACCTCAAGCCTAGCATCAATTACTAACGGTGACTTTAAATGGAAGCTGGCCTCAAGTCTTATCCTTTGACTTTGGAAGTTATTGTTCATAGTATAGAATAATAATAATAATAGTAACAACAGGGCCGGCCCTGTGGCTTGGTGGTTAAGTGCGCGCGCTGCGATGCTGGTGGCCCGGGTTCGGATCCCGGGTGCGCATCGAGGCACCACTTCTCC